TTGGTTCTAATCTTGTTGTGGGTTGCGTAACTACTATTGCTATGAGGTTCTCATCAATTGGTATCAGAATAAGGCTCCAATAGTCAAGGTTATATCTTTTCTTGTTGTTTTCAGTCTTGTTTTCGTGATTTCTTAGTTCTTCACAATCTTTGAGTCAGTCCGTATTTTCTTGAGTTTTGATCTAAAAAAAAAAAATTTACTATTCATCCGTACTGTTCATCCGTACAGTAGTAAAAAAAAAGTTTCAACTTCCATTCAAGAACCACTTTCTTGAATTAAAAATAGTTTTACTTCTACTTTTCCAATTCCTTTGTTTCGTCTCATTCCATAAATCTCTTGAGTCACACATCGTTCATAACCCGATTTGAATTCTTGAGAATAAGATTTGGTTGAGTTCGATATTGACTTTGAAGCACTTGGGTGAAAGCATCGAGTGGAAAAAGACAGAGTTGTGAGATTAATAGAGGGAAAAAGCCATATTGAGTGATACTCGAGTGAAACAGGTGAGGTATATAATTATTTTAGAATTAAGATGTCTAACAAAGACGGTTCTACATCAAGCGGGAATCAAGATCAAGCTGGGATGACAAATGACATGTATCAGCAGTTTGAAAGATTGTTTGGTGATATGCGAGACATGATGGACATGAAGCAGCAATTGTTGAGTTACGTAGGGATCGCTCTCGGAAAATTCCTAATGTAAGGAGGCAAGGTAGGCATGAGCGTAGAATGAATTTTGAAGATGAAATTGAAGCGGGAAGTGGAACGGATGAGGATGCATTGGTGGATGTTGACTTGGGAAGAATAAGGGGTAGAATAGATAGGTGTGGAAGAAGGGGTCAGGATCATGATGGAGATGGAGATGGAGATGATAGAAACATGGGCAACATCAAGATGACAATTCCAACATTCAAGGGCAGAAGTAATCTAGAGGTGTATTTGGAGTGGGAAAAGAGGATTGAATTGATCTTCGATTCCTTGAATTTACTGATTATGCTATTACTTGGTAAGACCAAATTGTGACTTCGAGGAGAAGGAATAGAGAACAACTTGTTAGTACCTGGGGGACATTGAAAAATATCATGAGGAAGAGATTTGTGCCTAGTCATTACTATAGGGAGATTCATCAAAGGTTGCAAGGCCTTTATCAAGGGACTCGGAGTGTGGAAGACTATCACAAGGAGATGGAGATTTTGATGATTAGGGCGAATATTGTAGAAGATGAGGAAGCTACCATGGCTAGATTTATGAATGGACTGAATAGGGAG